GTCGCAAAATTATAAATTTTTTATCCTCACAAAGCGTGGTAATTAATAATATTTGGTATCGTCGATCTGTCGTTGATACTCCTCGTCGTCGGGATTCGCCTCGCAGGCGTTATCGTTGTTTGGCGGCCTTACACCATTGTATCTGTAATTTTAATTACATTGGAAGTTAGACGAATGAAAAATATTCTATCACCTTAATTTGCAAGTGAGAGACCTGGAAAAATCACCCTTGCAGAGTCTCCAGGGTAACACGTCAATTCTCTCGTGCAGTGTAGGTGATATCTCAGGACTGACAAAATTCGGAGTGCCAGCACCGGAACCACGGGTCAAGAGTTTCCTTCGATGGTCATAACAACAGTGTTGAGCTGCGGCGCTTCCGCTTCCTTGTGTCAGCAACGAGCGCACGCAGTAAGTGGCACCAGGCTTATAGACGTCAAGCCTTTGCGAACTGCCACTTACGTCTCTCCACCTGAAATACTTCATTCGCTTCTCATCCCAAATTTTGTCGTCATAAAAGATATTGCTCGGGTACAGGCACGGACAGGCAGGTAATGACGTTAGACCACCTGTAACGGTGAGTTCGAGAAACCAAGCACCGTAGTTAGAACACTATGAATGTCGAGTTCGTACCTAAGAAAACCTGCTCAAGTTTGTCCTTGCTGTTTAGCCACTTCTGACAAGGATCTTCGTTCGTTCCGTTCACAAAATTCAGCTCCTTGAATATCTCTTGCCCATCCGTTGTAGAAGCGTTTCGCAGACTTTGAAATAATTTGCTCACTAGAACACTCAAGCTTTCGTGGAAGATAACTCGATCGTCGATGGCCGAATAAATATCCGAAGGATCCGACTCGTCAAAGTAATCTGTGCTCTCGAAGGAATGCTTTGTGGATCGACTTTCCTTCCTGGTTGATTCGTCAACATTTTCAAACTCAATTTCTGTAGAAGTGGATCGTTCGTCAACGCTGTAATTCACGGAGCTGATATTTCCCTCCGTTTCCTTTGAATCGATTTTGCTCTTCTCCTCGTCGGTTACATCGTAATTCTCCACGTTGGTCTTATTGTACGAATCCTACGTACCGAGAGAAAAAAAATGTAGTCCAATTTATGTTTATGAATCTTCCTTGAAGATCTATGCAGCGTCAACGTGACAAATAATCACCTGCACGCCGTCGTTCATCCCCAATCGGTCCCGTGATTCTTCCTCGGCCTCTAGAATCCTACTGTTTCTATCGGGATCATCTTTGGTTTCTTTGGAATTTTGATCTATTGGTACTGTGTCGTTGTCCAACAAAAGAGACAGCCTGGTCGCAGAAATATTCCGAAGATACGTCGATCGATTTCTGTAGCGACGTCGTTTCCGATGTTTCGCGTGCCTCGTAGGAGCCGCTTCATCTTCGACCTGTTCGTTTCGTTTACTCCGAATCAATTGACCGTTTATCCAGGATGAATGAAGTAAGCCCAAAATCGATTTTTCACCCACGATCCTTTCCGAATCTCCACTGATTTCATGATTATCGTTCTGTGAATAAGAAAGAAATAATGCCTGTCGATTATTTGATTGGTGAAAGAAGTCAATCTACAGCAATTCGAATTCAAATGGAGCGGATTTGATGTAGAGGGTTCATTCGTGACAAGAGTAGGGTAACGATGGTCGGCGAAACATCAAAAGGAGCCGTGTTCGGCTCGTCGATGAGATACGAGGCTCGCGCAAGGAAAAGGGACACGGCAATACATGCTGGAATGGAACGGAGCGAAATGGAATACTCTCACCGATCCGTGAGACACAGAACGTTTCTACTTCTTAGAAGCGTTCGTTGTAAAATCATTTCCCATTCAATGGCGTAGCAGCACCAATCGGCGTGCGGGGAAAATTTCGGTTTCCCGCGTTTTCGTTCGTCGAAAAGAAAAAAAAAAAAAAAAAAAAAAAAGAAGAAAAGAACGCAAAAACGCGCGAAATCAGCTAACTCTTTCCCTCTGCCAGCGTTACTTTTAATCAACGTGTTTCAACGAGAAAGAAAGGAAAAAAAAAAAAGAAAAAAGAATTTCCAGGCCCGCGGCGAGCGAGTTTTCCTTTCGATCGCCGTTTAAAATTTCATCCCAGTTTCGGCCGCGATTTTCCTCCTCTTTTTCGCTCCTCCGCCCGGAAACTCGGCTCGGATTCGGTAATTCGCGAGGCGTGCTTCACGGCAGTGAAGTTTCGAATCGTTGCCAAGCTGAAAAATCGCGACGAGCTTCGTTGAGAACGAAGCGAATCGAGGTGAACTTCGAGACGTTTGAAAATAATTGGAAACGGTTAACAACGTGCGACGTGCATGATTCGTGCATTTACCGGTCGAAAGCAAACGCTCCAACGGTATGAAACGCGAGAGATTGATTTTCAAGAAACTTTTTGACATTTTATCGAGTTAAAAAAAAAAAAAAAAAAAAAGAAGAAGAAAGTCTCTGACGTTTTGGTGAAACGAAAACGTTAGAGACTCTTTTTTTTTTTGAAAAATTTGAACTCGACTCGTTTCGTGGAAATTTTGAGGGGTTGCAGCATAATTTAAGAGTTATTTCGGAGGTAAAATTATATTTCATTGGGAAAAATAATACGTACATTTTGCACTTGTCTAGTAATTGCTAAAAATGTCAACAAAGTTCATAAAATGAATGAAGGCTCGAATCATTTAGCTGTGGTCTGAAGCAAAGCAAATTTTTTTTTTTTTAATTTTACGCTAGACTGCAAATATTTTTTCGCCAAGCCGATTTTCAAAATATCAATTTCTAAAAAAAATGTGACAGCTATCTAAACTGTAATTTTCAACTTCTTTTGTGAATAAAAAAAAAAAAAAAAAGAAATCCGAAAATATTAAATTTCGCTTCGTCAAGTTTCGTTATAAAAGTTTCATTCAAATTGATTAACAGTAATCTTTCAGATAATTCCGATAGCAATTTGGAAAGTCTCTTTTCGCCCTCAAAAATTTTTTTTATCGTATCATCTATGCTATTTATTTACAAAAGAAGTATTTACTTTAAATATAAAGGACGCAGCGTTGGAAATAATCATTCTATTAAAATGGTTTCAATCCTTCTATCATTATTTTTATCATTCTGTTAATATTTGGTATGAAATTATATTTTTCCTTTTTTCATGTGATATTGTTCAAGGTTGAAGCAATCATCGACATGTATTATGACTTTGCTAGAACAATGATATTTTGAATCTTCTGAAATACAATTTTCTCTGTCGTCGTGAAAAGCAATGAGAAGTCTGATTGACCTAAACCTAACCTAACGCTAACGTCGATTGAACTAACGACTGTCTCTGTCCTCACAAATTTCTTCTTCCAAATTTTTTTTTTATTCTTCTTATTGTCACTCTCATTACAATTAGTTCATAATTAGCAAAGATTATAAAAGAAGAATGTGCTGTTGGTTAGATTTGAGCACGATGTTTTTGAAAGGGGCAGTTAAATGAGTGTTGAATTTAATTCCTAATTATTACTTAATTATTCTAAAATATTAAAATATCAAGCAATAATTTCTAATTACTACTTAATTATTTTCTAGAGCATTCCAGAAGAATTTCAATGATAACAGAGTGTACAGTTTTTCTCGACTTCTTAAAAAGCGTACGTACATCTTCCAAGACCAAGCAATTAGCAGAAACAACGTTGAATCAATTTGAACTTTTCTGTTATCGATATACACAGTGGTCACTGAAAGACTGAACGATATAAAACAAAAATAACTTTGCACTGAACACACGTTTTTTTTTAAATTTATTATTTATTATTTATTATTATTATTATTCTTTATTTATTATTATTATTTATTATTTATTATTCATTATTATTATTATTCTTTTTTATTTATTATTATTATTTATTATTTATTATTCATTATTATTATTCTTTTTTATTTATTATTATTATTTATTATTCATTATTATTCTTCTTTTTTTATTTATTATTTATTATTTATTATTCATTATTATTACTATTATTTATTATTTATTATTCATTATTATTATTATTCTTTTTTATTTATTATTATTATTTATTATTTTTTATTATTTCATTTGGATATATAATTAATGGATTTTTTTCAGTATTACTCGTCAAAAGCAACAAATGAACAGGTTGTGACCTTATTCAAAGCCTCCAGTTTTTCAGTGGCCACTCTGTATAAGTAATCACGTCGCCATATAGTCTAAACCCGCCGACCAGGTTTTTCCAAGTCCCCGTGAAATTATTCCAGCCCTCTGGGCTACGAACGAATTATACGAGGTCGTACGTCTCCGCCGAGCGAAATTAACCGATTGTCGAGCGCGAGCAGATCGAGAGCCTAAATATCGAGAGAAAGAGAAAGAGAGAGAGAGAGACCTTCGAACTCGCGAGGAAATTGAAGTTTTCCGGAAGGCTGGCTCGGAGTAATCGGCGGCGCGCCACGCGACACCCTCCAAGGAGAGACGCTCCAGAAGCGCGTCAGGATGGATTCACATCGACCATCCCGCTTAATAAACACAACTCGGGGCGAAGTTTTTGTTTTTTCCGGAGATACCGCCGCTCGAAAATTGCGGCGCGCATAATCGTGGTGAAGTGGCTCGTCGCGAAACTCCGGCTGTTTCGTTGCCGCCGCTCGGCGAATTTATGCCGCGGCCATAGTTCGCCGAAGCAATGAAAAAGGCTTAATAATCGCCGAGTGCCATAACAGCCAACTTCTTCCACCCCGTCCACCCGAGATACCGCCGCTTTAAATTCGCGAAACTTGCTCCACGCGGAAAGGCGTTTGCACGCTTATCTCGCGGTACTTTCTTTTTCATCAGCTTTCCCGCGCCCCCGTTTCCTCCACGTTTATTACGTTTCTCCAATTGCGCGAAAGCGTCTACGAAATTCCGACACGACTCCATTTAACGCTGGAACTGGCCGAAATTGGCGTAGTAGACGTGAAACCTTGGTAGGCGTGTTTTTAGAAATTTAAACACACGTGAGGATGAGAATCGAATTTCACCGTTTTTTTTTTCTTTTTTTTTTTTTTACTGGTATTATATTGTATTTTTTTCTTTCTCTCATTTGAAAAATATGTACATTGCAATGAATAGTCTCAAAAATTTTCTGCTTGTTACAATTTATTAAAACGTTTTGTTAAAACGTTGCGACTTTTTCGGAATACAGTTGATAGGTTGTGGTTTAGAGGTTATGGTTACATTTTTACTATATGAGATATTGTATCGTTATTAAAAAAAAAAAAAAACAAGTGAGTCATTACTTGATTTTCAGCTTCCAGTGTTTCAAAATCTCTTAAACAAACCGACCCATATATTTAATATAGGATGCAAGCCTACAGTATAATAATAAACTAAAAAGTATGTATTTTTTATTTGGAACACTCTAGATGAAATCACCTTTTGCAAGAGATGTTTCTTTTGTTTTGTAAATCTATGATCATTTTTTCAATTTTCTGTTTGTTTCATTATAAATTTACATGTAAATATATTACCAAAAAGTAACGGAATACAGTGTGTTGGTAGGTTATGATTTAGAGGTTATGGTTACATTTTTACTATGAGATATTGTCGTATCGTTATAAAAAGAAAATTTCAATTTTCAGTGTTTCAAAATCTCTCAAACAAACCGATCCATATATTTAATATAGGTGATGCAAGCCTACAGTATAATAATAAACTAAAAATTATGTTTTTTATTTGGAACACTCTGGATGAAATCACCTTTTGCAAGAGATGTTTCTTTTGTTTTGTAAATCTATGATCACTTTTTTAATTTTCTGTTTGTTTCATTATAAATTTACATGTAAATATATATATTACCAAAAAGTAACGGAATATAGTGTGTTGATAGGTTATGATTATATTTTTACTATGAGATATTGTCGTATCGTTATAAAAAGAAAATTTCAGTTTTTAGTGTTTTAAAATCTCTCAAACAAACCGATCCATATATTTAATATAGGTGATGCAAGCCTACAGTATAATAATAAACTAAAAATTATATTTTTTATTTGGAACATTTTGGATGAAATCACCTTTTGCATAAGATGTCGTTTCTTTCGTTTTGTAAATCTATGATCATTTTTTTAATTTTCTGTTTGTTTCATTATAAATTTACATGTAAATATATATATATATATATATTACCAAACGGTAACGGAATACAGTGTACTGATACATTTTTACTATAAGACTTGTCATATCATTATAAAAACAAATTTCAGCTTTCAGTGTTTCAAAATCTCTTAAACAAACTGATTCATATATTTAATATAGGTGATACAAGCCTACAGTATAATAATAAACTAAAAAGTATGTATTTTTTTATATATATTTGTAAATTATGTATTTTTCCTGGATGAAATCACCTTTTGCAAAAGATGTCGTTTCTTTTGTTTTGTAAATCTTTACTTTTTTAATTTTCTGCTTGTTATATAACTATAAATTTATATGCAAATATATATGTATGTATGTATGTATGTTTATATTTTCAAATATCGATCACATTTAACACAAAATGTAACAACTCTTTTGAAAAAAAAAAAAAGGAAAGTAAGGCATCACTCGCCGACTTAGCCCAACTTGATAAGAAGCTCGCGTACTCCGTTCGTATTATAAAGCTTTTCCACGTCTTTGACTTTAATGTCTCCGATGGGGATTTTACGCTTTGATCGTCGGTAGTTCCAGCGTTAATTACGATTCCCTGCAAGCTTTCCACGCGGATACACGCGTTCAACAGGAGTGGAGAGGAAAGGAAGGGAGAGATATCTTGGAAATTCACTCTCTCTGGCTGTTTCCCCGAACGAAACTTTTCAAAACGCCGCACGCCGACGAGTTCTTTTCGACTCGAGATATCAAAACGTATGTATGTACGTACCTGGAGTATCTGGCGCACTCGTAAACTATTTCGGGAGCAGCGTTCGGCGCCCTTATCCGTGGATAGTTGCAGCGTCGAAAGGAACCGAAGTACGCGTCCGCCTTCCCTAGCAGTCGTCCCTGAAACGTGCAACACACACGCGTACAGAGAGGCCGCCGAGCGAACAGGAGACGTATGACTAACGTTGCTTTTAGCTAATTAAAGCTAATTAACTATTAAAGAAATAATTCAAAAATAACGAAATTATATTATTAAATAAATAAAATATATAAAATTCTATTATATTAACTAATTAATATTTAAACTAATTAACTATTAAAGAAATAATCCAAAAATAACGAAATTATATTATTAAATAAATAAAATATATAAAATTCTATTATATATAACTAACTATTAAAGAAATAATCCAAAAATAACGAAATTATATTATTAAATAAGTAAAATATATAAAATTCTATTATATTTAACTAATTAATATTTAAACTAGTTAACTATTAAAAAAATAATCCAAAATAACGAAATTATATTATTAAATAAATAAAATACATAAAATTCTATTATATTTAACTAATTAACTATTAAAGAAATAATCCAAAAATAACGAAATTATATTATTAAATAAATAAAATATATAAAATTCTATTATATTTAACTAATTGATATTTAAAGTAGTTAACTATTAAAGAAATAATCCAAAAATAACGAAGTTATATTATTAAATAAATAAAATATATAAAATTCTATTATATTTAACTAATTAATATTTAAACTAATTAACTACTAAAGAAATAATCAAAAATAACGAAATTATATTATTAAATAAATAAAATATAATAAATAAATAAATTATATTATTAAATAAATAAAATATATTATTAAATATAAAATATATAAAATTCTAGTATATTTAACTAATTAACTATTAAAGAGATAATCCGAAAATAACGAAATTATATATATCATATCAAGTAAATAATATATAAAATTCTATTATATCAGTTAAAAATCTCTATGAAAATTAAATTTAATTCGTTTTCAATTGAATGATTTCATTCGTCATTTTGTGAAATAAATTGTCAGTAGAGTTACAGTGTCTCGTGAAATAAATTAGAGAGTTTTATTATTCGTGAAATAAATTGTCAGTAGAGTTACAGTATCTCGTATAAAAATTCAATTTATTCATTTCCAGTTAAACGATTTATTCGCGAAATAAATTGTTTACTATTTGCCAGAATTTTTGTTCGTTATTTGATTCTGATAGAAACAACTATCCTTGAGGTAGAACGTCCAATATTTATATTTATTATCACATTTATGTTTGTCTACAGATACAAGTTGAAATGGATATCGTTCGATTTTATGACGACTTTTGACAGACGAAATTTAGATATTCTCTATGACCGTATATTAATGAAACAAGCATCTGTAAGCTATAATATTCCCCTCCAGTCTACGTCATCAGTAGAGAGACTATTCTCATTTGCAACTTTAACAGATGTCCCCAAAATTTCGTTCATTAGCGGACCAAATGTTTGAGGAACGAGTTCTATTAAAAGCCAAGACAAATTTCTGCCTTCTGTGATAACACACGCTAAGGCAAGAAACACTAAGATGACACAAAATTATTTTCATTTCCCCTGATTTTTTTTTTTTTTTTTTTTTTTTCATTGGAATATTTTAATTTCTTGATATTTACTCTGAAGACAAATTTCCAATATCAGTTCTTCAATTTATTATTTTCCCAACTACATAGCTTCAAATTCCTTTAAAAGAGCTACAAATACCATTATATTATTAAATATAATCTCTATAATATTCATATTACTATATTAATTGAAATCCACTATTCGCCAAATACGAAAGAACTTTAATCGTTTCAAAAATTTGCTCACAAAATTATCATTCGAAATCAATTTCTGAAACGTCTCTGCCAGCAACCAGATGACCTTACGACCTTTTCTAATCGTTTCGAATTCACAGTTTCCGCCATCGTCAATTTCGAGGCGAGGGAGAGAGAAGGAAGGCCAGTGTGAAACCTAACCCAAACCTCTACACCTTCCGTGAATGATCGGGGGATGGAAAATCAGCGTCAAGCCGCGTCGGTCGGTTGAACTCCCGAGATCGGGATCCACGTTCGCGGTCACGTTTTCCGGTTGTGTTTCAGCTCTCATTCCGGGTTAATGGCGCTCGGGATTTGTAGCCGGGAAAGGGGAGAGAACGCGACTCGCCGTCGGAGCCTTCTGGGTGGGATCGTTACTCTTTTATACGAGAGGATTCGCGATGGTTTTGTATTGGAAACGGGTTCACGAGCAAAACCGTTGACCCGGTGCCAAGTAGTTTCTTCACCGAGAGATTAAGTTTCGCAGGGCGCCCCGTGTCTCGGACGCCTTTCTTGCACCGCGCGCGAGAGATCGTAAAACCGCGCTTCTCTCGGCTCCGCTTCGCTCTGGTTCCCTTCGCAGTGGAACAAGCGGCTAAAAGTCGGACAGGATTTCCCGGGATATTACTCTTGGGGACCGGGACAGCGGGGAATTCGATTGTTCGCAAAGGGCGGACTATTTTCTCTCTCTTTGACACCAGAACTACCGAAAATCGTGGTCAAAATGCGACCAATTTGTGATTTTTATTGGACATATTTTACATATTTTTAAAACACCAGATATATATTTTATATATTTTTGAAACACGAGATATATATATTTTATATATTTTTAAAACACCAGATATATATATTTTAAATATTTTTAAAACACAAGATATATATATATTTTGAATATTTTTAAAATACCAGATATATATTTTACATATTTTTAAAGCACAAGATATATATTTTACATATTTTTAAAATACCAGATATATATTTTACATATTTTTAAAACACAAGATATATATTTTACATATTTTTAAAACACCAGATATATATTTTATATATTTCTGAAACACGAGATATATACATCCTACATATTTTTAAAAAACAATAACTTTCATACTTCTACAATACAGAATACATATTTCCATATATGAGATTACGTCAGTCTCATCAATGTTGCTAGAACAAGAGAATATTCTCATTCAAATTGATGCATTTCGAAGCATTGCTGCACTTCATTAGACACAAACCTAATTGAACTGTTTGACCAGTGGCTTCCATGCGTATTTATAATCACACGTCGTTTACTCCAACTGGGGGTTATGACTTGTCCGTAATTAGACACCTAGCGGCGCTCTGCCTAATTACCTTGACCCCGTCTCGTCGACTCCTCGTTTGTTCACATTTCCAACAGACGTGTTACATGTTTTTGAAACAGTGTATTCTCAGAGATTCATGTGGTGGTTTCTCGTAAAATAAATAAAATTTATCAATACGTTATAACTAATAAAAGCTTCGTTGTACTTCGTTCTGTTACAAAATTTATATATTTTATATTCTCCACTTTAACGTCTCTCTTGACGGAAATATCGCGTTTTAATCGCCGACATAGTTCCAATGTTTTAACCAGTGTTTGTCCAACCCCCGGCGAAGACGCGCGTAGTATTTTTAACTGATCCTCGCGTAATTCGTGCAAACGAGAACAGGTCGTGTTAATATGTACACGCGAGTCGTCGCATTTCATTCGAGATGGCGAATACGATGGTGAAATTAAAAACGACGTCTCTAAAGGCACGCGGCTCGCCTCGTTTCGCCTCGCCGGCACTCGACTCACGGAGATTTCTCCTTAAACGAACGGATTCACGGACACGGCCGCTTCCTCGGGCCGCGCACACAGTCGCACGAGCGCAGCAAGGCAAATGTAAATTCACTTATGCATTTATTCATCCTGCTACTCGAGTATTTTCAAAGCCATTTAGAGGCCCCTTCTGCGTTGCGCTTCTCCGGAAGGATATATATACATATATATGTATATATATTAGGTATGTAAGTGTACATACGTATATATATATATATAGGTGTATGTAAGTTTCGAAAGGACACTCGTGCACGGATGTTGACGTCGAAATTATTCATTGGCTGTTTTTACGCTCGTTTCCCTTGTTTCGACCTAATTGACGAATCTCTATAATTTCTATAATTCTTTCTTCAAAAATTTCTACAATTATCTTTGTACTTCTTTCTTGAATAATTTCTACAATTATTTCTTAAATAATTTCTATAATTATTTTTGTAATTTCTATTGTAATAATTTGTTTAACTTGCGTACCTTTGTCTATCTGTATTTCTGCCTACGTCCTCCAGCGTAGTAAGAAAAGATGTTTTGCAAATGTTGATGTTCAAGATTGCAAAATTCTCTGATCGGTTACTGACATGCCATTTTGTGCGTTTATTTGGGAAATAAAGTAACTAATTGTTTTTATTGTTTACACAACAAACAATTTGTCAAAATTTTCCTACCTTTTCTTTTTTCTTTGTTCTTTCATTGCCCCTCTTGCCCTACTTTTATTCAACGCACCCAATTGCCTACCTGCCAGAGATTACTATCGCCCTCTTGAATTGTTCCAGCGCCCACCAGGGGGAAGCACTGGTTTCAACTTTCCTTGGTGAGGTTAAGTAATGTCAAAAATCTGAGAAACAGTGAAATTTACGACAGAATATTGTCTATTGAGACAATTGGGAGAAACTAAATTCAGAATTTGGAAAATAAGCACGTGCCACATATGTTACGCAGATGGCCGATGAACTCTCAAAAATAACTTTGTCTGACATTGTCTGACAGATCTTGCAACGCAATTTTCTGTTTTTCTTCTTCTTCTTCTTCTTCTTCGTCTTCTTTGTGCAAATTTAAAATTGCCTTGACATCAAGGTCATTAGGGACAAAGATATGAGTGGATGTATTTTGACATAGCATGGATATGTGTCCATGAGTATTGAAGTTTTTTTTTTCAGATGATTTTGAGAATAGAATCTTACCACTTAATTCACATAGAATATATTGTTTTCGTGACAGATTTTTGATATTTATTGCAGAAGGAACTTTCAATTTTCTTGATTAGATATTCATCAATTCTTCCTTTTCTAGTTAACTCGCTTAAAGTTAAAAGATTTGTCTTTCACGAAACTTCCGATACTGGAAACTTTCAATTGGAAACAATGTTTGTCCCACATTTTTGTCCAAGTTGCAAAGTGCACGTTGCAGAAGAAAAGTTGCACATTGTTTGTACGAGTTGAAACGTCTTCAACGATGTCACTTTCCGTTCCATTCAATAAAGCTTCGAGGCAATTTTCTTGCCTCTTCAATTAACTGGGCAGCCCCGGATGAACTGGGACCTAAGACTCGAGATCGATGAAAACCGTGGATAATCGGGTTCGAGTTAATCGAAACTCCGTCTCGCAAGCAACCCGCTCCGACTTGTTCTAAAACACGATCGTTTTCGATCGAGTCTGTTTATCAAGAGAAGAAAGAGAGAGAGAGAGAGAGAGAGAGAGAGAGAGAGAGAGAGAGAGAGAGAGCGAGGATGCGGTTTGCACAAGAAGCCGGAAAATGCTTTATTACACGAGTTATTGCACGGTTCACAAAGCAATCTTCCCGGTAATTTTGTTCGTGGGCATCTTCGCGTCTTTTAAGAGAAAGTTGAACGCGCGCTCGCGCGTTCCTCGCGAGAGCGAGTTATAATTGGCAGGGAAGAAAGAAGAGGAGATAGACGCCCGGCGAGAAATTGGCGAGCTGTGGGAGAGGAGACGTTAAAAGAGAAACGGGAACGAGCTTCTTCTTCTTTCTTTCTTTCTTTCGTTTTCTTCCTGCGAGGCGAGGGGGAAAGTTGTACGAGTCTCCGAGGCCGCAGGGAGTCCGGAAGAATTTCTCTGGTTCCTTTCAAGAGCCCAGTACTCGAGCCCAATTTGCGAAACAAGCGTCGTTCTCCGCTCGTAGTCGGGTTAAGTGGAGACGGTCTCTCCTCCTCCTCCTTCTCCTCCTTCAGCCCCATTGGGACGCGATCGCGGTAGATCTCGGTGACGCGACTCGACTCGACTCGACTCGACTCGACGCGATGCGACACCGTGCCGGGTTCGCGTCACTCTCTCTGCCGAAGGGAGGGGAGTGGAGAGGGGGGAGAGTTCGTTTACAATCTAATTTCGTTGCCTCGGGGAAGACTCGGCATTGGCCAGGTAACACCGAGCAATTCCTACCAGTTTCAAAGTTCCCCCCTCCCCCTGCCCCATCGCGGGGAAACGGACGACCCTCGTTCACCCAAATTCCATTTCCCCCGTAACCAACCGTGCCTTGCCTCGCCACTCGCCGTTCGTTCTCGCCCCTATCACTATACACTGGCTTCAGCACGCTTCAGCGTCGAATGTTTTTAAATCAACGTTCTGACGTGCTTTGTACGAACATTTGATCTCTACCTTCAATCTCTGGCAGTCGTCGATGAAACCGGCGTGTTTCGCGAGTGAGAAAAGTTGGTGAAACGAAATTTCTTTTCCTCTTCTAGTTGGCTGTGGATAGTTAACCAACTGGACCGTGTAACTGATGCTTGTTTATCGTTGGTTTGACATTGACGATCGACTCGAGGGGTTTTTATTTCGTGCACACGCTTGGCGCAGGATATATTTCGCGATCCTTTTTTTGAAAAATTGGACTCCTCTATTCTGCGACCATTTTTTTGACTGCTTTCCTTCTTCTCTGAGAAAGTTTATTGAATTATACCTATGACTTAATACTTGTAATCTATAACCTATGATCATAAACCTATATGATATAGTGAATAATACAATGTATATTATACAGTCTAACATAACCTATAATCTTTGACCTCTATATACTGTATACAGTTGAGTTATATCTATATAAGTATATACTGTGTAGGTTAGGTTATATCTATATACCTATAACCATATAGCCTAACATAATCTATAATCTACGACCTCTATATACTGTATAGAGTTGAGTTATATCTATATATCTATATACTGTATAGGTTAGGTTATATCTATATACCTATAACCATATAGCCTAACATAGTCTATAATCTACGACCTCTATATACTGTAGAGAGTTGAGTTATATCTATATATTTATATACTGTATAGAGTTGAGTTATATCTATATAAGTATATACTATCTATATAAGTTATATCTATATAAGTATATATATATAAGTATAGGTTAGGTTATATCCATATACCTATAACCATATAGCCTAATACAATCTGTAATCTACAACCTCTATATACTGTATAGAGTTGAGTTATATCTATATATCTATATACTGTATAGATTAGGTTATATCTGTATACCTATAATCATATAGCCTAATATAATCTATAATCTATGACCTCTATATACTGTATAGAGTTGAGTTATATCTATATATCTATATACTCTATAGGTTAGGTTATATCTATATACCTATAATCATATAGCCTAACATAATCTATAATCTACGACCTTTATATACTGTATAGAGTTGAGTTATATCTATATATCTATATACTATATAGGTTAGGTTATATCTATATACCTATAACCAAATATAACCTATAACTTAATATATATAATCTGCAATATTGCAATATTGCCTAACCTGTATATTATATAGTGAATCTACAATATATATATTATAATCTAACACAACCTATAACCTATTATCTATATATTATATAGAATTAGGTTACATCTATATAATTATATATACTGTACAGGTTATATCTATATACCTATAACCAAATATATAACCTATAACATGTAATCTATATATAATAACATTTTAAATTTACAAAATGAAGACGAAGATACTGCGGAAACTTGCAAGACAATAATAAATAATAAAGTGAAGTGACGAGGATGCTGGAGAATATTTCGCTCGAGGAAGTTGTTTCACTGTTTTACAAGGGAGCGTAACGAAGCGTCACCGTCTTGATGAAATTTGGCTTAAAACGTAACTTTGAGAAAACTATTTGACACTATTTTATTTTATTCTTTCTTTATCGACAACTGTCAAAGGATTGAAGGGGTGTAAACCTATTCTTAAAATTTTGACTCTGGAATTTATTTCGACAGATATACCTCTGACTATTACTTATTTTTTAACCTATTACTTATTTTTTAACAAGTTTAATGTATACCATTTTGCAAAAAAGCTATTTTGTTTAAACATAATATTATATATTATAATAATAACATTGTATTAAACAATAATAAACAATATATAATAATAAAC